CATCAGGATTGGACTTGATCTCTCAAAGTGTTTGCTAAACGAAGCTAATCTATTGTAACTGTCATCAGGATTGGACTTGATCTCTCAAAGTTTAGCAAACACGAAACTAATCTATTGTAACTGTCATCAGGATTGGACTTGATCTCTCAAAGTTTAGCAAACACGAAGGTAATCTATTGTGACATGATTATATATATATATATCTTAAAATGTAATCCAAAACCTGTCAACTATACGATACACAACCTAGGTTTGTGAACACCCGTCAACTATACGATACACAACCTAGGTTTGTGAACACCCGTCAACTATACGATACACAACCAAGGTGTGTGAAAACCTGTCAGTAATACGACACACAACCTATGTGTGTGAAAACCCGTCAACTATACGATACACAACCTATGTGTGCGAAAACCTGTCAACTATACGATACACAACCTATGTGTGTGTGAAAACCTGTCAGTGATACGATACTCAACCTATGTGTGTGTGAAAACCTGTCGGTAATACGATACACAACCTATGTTTGTGTGAAAACGTGTCAGTGATATGATACTCAACCTATGTGTGTGAAAACCTGTCAGTGATACAATACTCAGCCTAGGTTTGTGATCACCCGTCAACTATACGACACACAACCTAGGTGTGTGAAAACCTGCCATTAATACGATACTCAACCTAGGTTTGTGATCACCCGTCAACTATACGATACACAATCTATGTGTGTGAAAACCCGTCAACTATACGATACACAACCTAGGTGTGCGAAAACCCGTCAACTATACGATACACAACCTAGGTTTGTGATCACCCGTCAACTATACGATACACAACCTATGTGTGTGTGAAAACCCGTCAACTATACGATACCCAACCTATGTGTGTGTGAGAACCTGTCAGTGCTACGATACTCAACCTAGGTTTGTGAACACCCGTCAACTATACGATACACAACCTAGGTGTGTGAAAACCTGTCAGTAATACGACACACAACCTATGTGTGTGAAAACCTGTCAACTATACGATACACAACCTAGGTGTGTGAAAACCTGTCAACTATACGATACACAACCTAGGTTTGTGAAAACCTGCCATTAATACGATACTCAACCTAGGTTTGTGATCACCCGTCAACTATACGATACACAACCTAGGTTTGTGAAAACCTGCCATTAATACGATACTCAACCTAGGTGTGTGAAAACCTGTCAGTGATACGATACTCAACCTAGGTTTGTGATCACCCGTCAACTATACGATACACAACCTAGGTTTGTGACCACCCGTCAACTATACGATACACAACCTATGTGTGTGAAAACCTGTCAGTGATACGATACTCAACCTAGGTGTGTGAAAACCTGTCAGTGATACGATACTCAACCTAGGTTTGTGATCACCCGTCAACTATACGATACACAACCTATGTGTGTGAACACCCGTCAACTATACGATACACAACCTATGTATCAGTGATACGATACTCAACCTAGGTGTGTGAAAACCTGTCAGTGATACGATACTCAACCTAGGTTTGTGATCACCCGTCAACTATACGATACACAACCTATGTGTGTGAGAACCTGTCAGTGATACGATACTCAATCTGTGCGTCTTCCGGTTTGATGTCGAAATTCTGGTTTTATTTATCCGAGAAAAGTCACAATGAAAATACGCGCAAAGCTTGAGGGATTATAACTCTAAATTTCGAGGTTTGAGTCCGGTATTGTGCAGCTCTGTGCTGAACAAAGGAACAACGGTTTCATTAGGCACGGTTTTCGTTTGGATGTGTCATTGTTTAAAAGTCTACAAACCAATGAGTTAGTGAAAGGCTTAGATTAATTTAAAGAACCATACGTCTAGAACCATTCTTGCTCAAAATATCGCTTCTTTATAACCAATTAGTGCCAAACTTAAATCTTAGAATAATGATTGCTCTAAGTATCTCAATTTATTTATAAGAGAATATATTAGACCTTAAATTTGATCGTGTATTTAAAAGGGTATTTTATGTGAAATACATGTCTGGTGAAATAAGTGACATTTCGCTTCGGATCTGTTAGTTTGTATAGACAAACAAATGAAGCGAAACCTTAGTATGAACTGTTTGTGACTATATACTATCAAACAAAAAAAGGGGTAAAATAGCACTAAATGATAGAAGAAAGTCATGAATATGGCCCTCAAGAGGAAACTATAATTATGTATCTAAGTTTATGTTTCGAGCCCTGATTTCTTGAAATGACTCTATGGCATTTGTCAGTTTAACATACACTGTATAGAAGTGAGGAAGAAGTCTGAATTAAACTTACCCTCCCAGGTGGCGCACAACGAAA